TAATATGAGAATTTGAACTTTCAATGAATGGAATTTCGTCATATAAAAGTTTTCAATATTGACTAACATTTTGGCATAGAATTCATTTAATTGTTATTAAGAATTGTCGAATATGGATCATTTAACGGTATAAATTATTAGTATTGGAAGATCTTAGTCACGTTTTCCGTGCGGAGAGAAAACTGCCTCAAAAATCAATATTGCCAAGTTGACCACATCTTAAATGGTTTCGTTATGCATTTCTGAGTAAGTCTCTGCATCGATTATATGATTTTTGTCCGAATGCTAAGGGATTCCAAGTTCAAAATATTAAAATTTGGGCCATATGACCTATTTTGGCAACCAATTTTAATATTTTTTATATTCTGACCGATTTCTCAATTAAATTGACCATTTCTGCGTACTTCCTTGAAAATGCTTATAATTGGGATTTTTTGATTTTGACCCTTTGAATATCTTGGCCATATTTATGATTTGTGAATTTCCGGAGGTAAAAAAAACATTATCCCTAATATTTATAAAATAGGTCATGACCTGATTTTGATCCTTTGAAAATCCAAATAATAGGTCATGACCTATTTTGGACCTGTTTTTTAAATATTAGGGATGATGCTTTCTACCTTCTGGAACTCAAAATCATAAATATGGCCAAGATTTTCAAAGGATCAAAATCAAATCATAAATATAGCCAAGATTTTTAAAATAACAAAGATCCCAACTATACGCGTTTTCAAGGAAGAACACAGAAATGGTCAGTTCAATTGAAAAACTGGTCAGAATATTAAAAATAATAATATTGGTTGCCTCCGCTATAAGGGAGAGAAACTTTCAAATAATTTTCTAAACTTAGCGAAATTCGATATTTTTGAGGGCTATATTTTATTTCTGAAAAGCGAAAAAAAAAATCGAGTCACAAATGCAGCGATGGACATTAGTAAGTCAACTTTCCCTTTGCCATTTAAAAGCCGAAAAGTCGAATTCGAAAAAAGTCGAATGTGTCAAAAATCACTACGTCGACTCTTCGTTATAGCTTTTCGAAGCAACAATTGAATGTTTTTAATTTCGATTTTCTAATAATTTTTATAAATGTCATCCAAAAAGAAAGTCGATCCTATCGTCCGTTGGCTAGTATCGAGTTGTCAATTAATCGAGTTTTGGGGTTAAAAAAAAATTGTAAAGTCGAATTCGAAATTTGAACGTGACCGTGAATGTGTTTTTAATTTAGTGTTTGTTTCTGATAAATAATTAATGTAAATATATCGACCGATCTTGTAAAAGGAACGTAAGTCAAATTTCATTTTATCGAGTATTGGTATAAAAAATCTAAAACTAGAACTTTAAATGTAACAAAAACTACAAAATCCACTTTTCGTAATAGTTTTCGATGCTTGCTCGACTTTCCAAAAGTATGCAACAATTAATTTTTTCTAATAGATTAATAATTTGTACCAAAAATCAAAAAATCTGTTGCCAAAATCGATTTTTGATATAGAAAAGACTAAAAATCGACGTCTATTTATGAATTTGGTAATATTCACAAAATTTACGTTTCATAATAGCTATTCGACTTCGTAGTTAATTCGACAAAATCGAAAGATCTGAGAATCGACATTTTAGTTAAAGGCAATAATAACACGTTAAATAGTATCACTCGGTTTTACCGACAGATGTATACCCCCAGCCTTGTGCTATGATTATTCGCATTGTTGAACTCTTTATGGGGGAGGTTCCGAAGCAATTGGCCGATATTGTCCAATTCGTATGTGACCTAAGTCTGATATAAATATTACAACGTGCCATATTTGGACTATATCGTCTATGAGCGTTTTGTCAGATGACAGAAAATTGTAGAGAACCGAATGCTTATTTAGGATTTATAATCGTTTTGCTTATTCCAAATTTTAACCCTTTGAGGTGGAGGAATGGTCCTATATCTACCATCTGTATAACAATTCTTGTGTTGATGGAAATATTGAGATGTGCTAAGTCTGAATGGAATCGAGCGTTAATTTCGCGATTTATAAGCTTAATGGATATTCAAAATTTTGAGCCTTTGTGGGGGAGATACCAGAAGGAGTGCAGCGCTATTTCCATCTTCACACCAGATCTTGAGTTGACGAAAATATTGTGATGTATGTCATTTGAAAACAATCGGACTCTTACATCACATTTTATAAGAGTTATAATTATTCAAAATTTTGACTCTTGGTGGGGGAGGTACTTGATGGAGTGTACCGATATTGTCCATTTTCGAACATCACGTAGCACTGATGGAAATATTAGGATTTGCAAAATTGTAGAAAAATCGGATTATCCTTTCTCTTTCGGTGCAGTAAAATATTTTTAGAAAATTTTGACCTTTTGTGGGGGAGGTACCAGAAGCAGTGGACTGATAATAATATTACAATGTACCATGTTTGGACCAAATCGAATACTCCCTTCGAGAGTTATCGTGCGCACCAGCCAGACAGACGGATGGACATCGCTAGATCGACTCTAAATGTCCTGAAACGGATTTGGTCCATAGAGACCTAGGGTCTAAAACCGATATTTCGATGAGACACCTTTTGGCCGTATCAAATGATATATGCCCTCTCTAGTCATATGACTGAGGGTATAATTATCAAAGGTATTTTTTTTTGCTGTTACTGATAGAAAGAATTTTCTTGAATTGATCGTTTTCCCAATAGGAACACAAAATGCTTAATTTCAAGCCATTTATTTGAAAAATGTTTTTTTGAGCTGAGAAATATATTAAATAGCTATTCATTAATGTAAATCAGAAGTTTTTTAGAATTTTTACAAAATCGTTTAAATTATGTGGAAAACATTTAAATGATAGGGGCCCCATATAAAAAAAATTCTCATAAAGTTGTCTTCACCAATGGGAACTCGAATGGAAATTTCGGTTGGGGAATGGATGGAACAATTATAACAACTAAAAAGACATTAAATTAGGCCGGGCGAACATCTAATACTATCCACCTGTGGGTAAAAAAAAAAACATTTTCATGCAAAAGTATCTGGATTCAAATGTGTTCCACTTTAAACTACAAACTTCAGTAAGGTCGGTAGACAATTTTATACTATAACGCTTGCAATCTATTGCGAGCCTTAAATACCAAATTTGACATCATTTCGTGGGTAAATGTGAAAATGTGGACCTATGTATACAATGTTCCGGCACTGAAGCCAAAACCCATAACGAGGTACCCTTATAAAGGAGCTACACAAAAACGTGGACCTATATGTACAATGTTCTGCCACTGGACCTAGCATCCATAACGAACTAGAAATAAAAATGTTTAGACAAATTGGTGGCAATATGTGACTAAAACATCAAAATACCGAAAGATCGGCAGGTACCTCTTCCATCGGCACTAGAACCCATTACGAACTAAAAATACCTTTTTAAAAAAAAATCCGTTGAAAAATGTGGCAAAAATCATCAAAATACCGAATGTTGGGAGGTAACGTTATTTGGAGACTATACGAAAACGTGGGCCTATGTATACAATGTACCGTCACTGGAGCTGGAACCCATATCGAACCATAAGTACCAATTTTTAAACAAATTGTTGGCAGTGACCAAAACATCAAAATACCGAAAAATCGGCAGGTACCTCCTCCATCGCAGCTAGAACCCACTACGAACTAAAAATACCTTTTTTAAACAAATCCGTTGAAAAATGTGACAAAAATCATTAAAATACATAATATGGGGAGGTACCCTTATATAGGCTATACGAAAACGTGGACCTATGTGTGCCACTAGAGCTGGAACACACACCGAACTATAAATACCAATTTTTACACAATTTGGTGGAAATATATGGTTAAAACTATCCCAAAACCTGTACCGATATATCTCATTTTCAATGCCAAACGTCCAAGACACACATCAAACAACGATGCCAAATGTTAAAGCTGTACGTCAAATAATGTGAGGTTTAGATGAGATTTTAACAGACAGACAAATAGACGGACGGCCAGAAGGACATCTTTAGATCGACTTAGAATTATATGCTGATCATGAATATATATATATATATACTTTATGGGGTCTATGACGAATATTTAGAGGTGTTACAAACGGTATGACAAATTAAATATACCCTCAAGGTGGAGGGTATAAAAATGAAAATTGATTAAAGCTTCTTCATAAGCTTTTTGTAAGATTTCAAGCTATTCGATTGGAAAATGTTTTTGTTGAAGTCAATTTCAAAAGTGAGTCAAAAACTGCTACAGATGACAATAAAGTGCTCCTTAGAAGAGGCCTCTAAAATCATAGATTTATGTCCCAAAATAATTTCAAAATATCTCAAAAATTATATAACAATATTCCAGGGCCAATCGGGTGGAGCTGATTAACTCGATACCAGCCCCGGCTGACAAGTCATGTTGTTCAAATACAATTTTTGAGATAAATTGAAATTGCTCAAAATCATTATTAAAGAAGGAAAAGTTAAAGACTTTGGCAGAAGGGGGTTTTCTAGATGAAAAATAGCTCAATTTATTTTAATTCTAAAACCTAATAAATTTGTTGGTTTCGGAAATTTGGAATTAATCCACTGCTCAGATTTCAATATCTTGCCTTTAAATTATTTTTATTGAGATCGGCTGCCTAGAGAAGGAGCGGAAGCCAATTATCCCAATTTTCGTTTCACTCTAAAGCAGATTTCTTAATTTTCAATATCTTTTCCACCAACAACTCAATCCAACTTCTTTATCTTAATTGGTTTTTCATTACCTTTATAATATGTTTGTTTTGTTTTAAAAAATTCAATTGTTTCTTCTTTATTTTTTTTTTTAGTTTTTATTTAATGTGTGTGTGTGTTGTGTTTTATAATTATTTATATAAATAGATTGTTTCATTATACCGAGTAAAGATTTCAGCAAAAACTTCCGCGTTTCTTCGGTTTCCCAATTCCAAAATTGTTGGAAAACAAAAAAAAAATAATATGAAATAGTTGTTTTCATTGCGCCATAGAAAATACATATAAAATTGTTGCAATTCTTCATTCAACATTACGAAATGGAATTACAAATTAATACATTATTTTTTTGTTATGTAAATACATTTAATACATGTTGTGTATGTATGTAAGTAAAAAACAAAGTAGAGAGGAGTAGTGATTGAACATTCATTGAAATTGAAATCTTGTCTTTTGTTCTCCGAAAAAAATAAAATGAAATTAAAAAAAAAATAAATCTTAAAATCAAATAAATAATAATCAAAATTCTAAAAAACACTATGATAATTCTGTTGCTTCCTTCTTCTTCATCCTTTTCTTCTGCTGTGTGTGTGTTTCTTGGAAAAATCTTGAAATGAAAATACTCCTAGTGATAAGTCTTTTTTTAAAATTCCCATTGTGTGGCCACATCATTGCCATCATCCAATAGTTTGAAGGCTCCATTTTTAGTAGCTCCTAAATATTTGCCATTTTCAGATCTGAAAATAAAAAAACACTCATTAATATTTCTATTCAGAGAAAATTTCAATTCCATTTGTCTTACCTAATACAAATTCTAGTGGGTTCACGCAATTCCAAATAGAAACCATCAGCTGGAGCATCGGAGTCAACGGAAATGCCCTCACCGTCAATGCGCCAATATTTGCCACCATGTCCCTTGAAATAGACCAAACCCTTTTGGGCTCTCTCCACCAATATGGTTTCATATGTGGCCTTATTGCACTCCAATTTGGTGTTGCCAGGCTGGCGATAGCCCACAAAGCCCTGCTCACACTTAAGTACCAAAATGGGTCTGGAAAGAAAAAAAAGATATGGATTAGAATTTGAAAAAATGGATCAAACGTGGATTTTTTAAGAACATATTTTTACGGATAAAACACGGATTTTTTGGAAAAATATTTTTAAGGATAAAACGTTGATTTTGATATTTGATATTTCTAAGGGTCAAAGGTGGATTTTTTAAAAAAATTTGAAGGATCAAAGGATTTTTCATAAAAGTATTTTTAAGGATCAAACGCTGGTGGATTTTTCAAAAAATATTTTAAAGGATCAAACGTTGATGGATTTTTCTCAAAAAAATATTTTTTAAGGATCAAAGGCAATTTTTTCAAAAAAAAAAAAATATTTTTAAGAATCAAAAGTGAATTTTTCAAAAAATATTTTGTGTGAATTATTTAAAAAAAAATGTATATATATGTTTAAGGATCAAGCATCGATTTTCAAAACAAAACAAAAAATTAAGGATCAAAAGTGGATTTTTCAAAACAAAATATTTCAAAGGACCAAACGCGAATTTTTCAAAATATATTTTCAAGGATCAAACGTTGATTTTTCAGAAAGGACCAATTGACCATTCAAACGATCAAAGGATCAAACGTGGATTTTTCAAAAAGGACCAATTGACCATTCAAACGATCAAAAGATCAAACGTGGATTTTTCAAAAAGGAATAATTGACCATTCAAATGATCAACAGATCAAACGTGGATTTTTCAAAAAGGAATAATTGACCATTCAAATGATCAAAAGATCAAACGTGGATTTTTCAAAAAATATTTCAAAGGATTAAACGTAGATTTTTCAAAGGATCAAACGTGGATTTTTCAAAAAATATTTCAAAAGATTAAACGTAGATTTTTCAAAGGATCAAACGTAGGTTTTTCAAAAAGGACCAATTGACCATTCATCAATCAAATCAAAGGATTCCAAAAAAATATTGTAAAGGATCAAACGTTGATTTTTCAAAGGATCAAACGTGGATTTTTTAAAACAAAATATTTCAAAGGATCAAACGTGAATTTTTCAAAAAATATCTTCAAGGATCAAACGTGGATTTTTTAAAAAATATTTCAAAGGATCGAACGTGAACTTTTCAAAAAGGACCAATTGACCATTCAAACGACCAAAGAATCTAACGTAAATTTTTCAAAAAGGACCGTTCAAACGATCAAACGAATATTTTTAAAAAATATTTTTTTGAGGACCAATTGACCTTTCAAACGTAGATTTTTAAAAAATATTTTTTCAAGGATCAAAATACCAGCCAAACGTGGAATTTTAAAAAATATTTTTTCAAGGACCAAAATACCAGCCAAACGTGGATTTTTAAAAAAATATTTTCTCAAGGACCAAAATACCAAACGTGGATACTTAAAAAAAAAAAAAAATTCAAAGACCAAAATACCAGCCAAATGTTGATATTTAAAAAATATTTTTTCAAAACGAAAATGCCAGCCAAAAGTTGATTTAAAAAAATATTTTTTCAAAATGAAAATGCCAGCCAAAAGTGGATTTTAAAAAAAATATATTTTTTTAAAACGAAAATGTCAGCCAAAAGTGGATTTTAAAAAAAATATTTTTTAAAGGACCAATTGACCTTTCAAACGTGGATTTTTAGAGAATATTTTTTTAAGGATCAAAAGACCACCAATCGTGGATTTTTAAAGTATATTTTTTCAAGGACATTTCGAGCATCCAAATATGGATTTTTAAAGAATATTTTTTAGGGATCAAAAGACCACCAAACGTGGATTTTTAAAGTATATTTTTTTCAAGGACATTTCGAGCATCCAAATATGGATTTTTATAGAATATTTTTTCAAGGACCAAAAGACCACCAAACTTGGATGTTTAAAGAATATTTTTCAAAGACAACAAAGCCTTGATTTTTTTTAAATTTTCCAAGGGCAACAAATCCTTGATTTGTGATAATTTTTTTCAAGAACCTGTCGATGAACTAAACGTTGGTTTTGGAAGTTTTTTTTAAGGATCTGGATCTTCAAGGACACAAGGCTATCACGCGAATTTTTGAAGAATATTTTTCAAGGACAACAAAACTTTTATTTTTTGAGATTTTTTTCAAGGACCTGCCCACAAACCAAATGTGCATTTTTAAGCATTTTTTTAAGGACAAGAAAGCCTTTATTTTTGAGTTTTTTTTTTTTCAAGGACAATAAAGCTTTGATTTTTGACCATTTTCTCAAGGACCTGTCGACCAACTAAACGTGATGAGGATTTTTAAGGATCGGTCGACCAACATTTTTGAAGAATTTTCACAGATTAGTTTTCAAGGACAAGAAAGCCTTGATTTTTTAAAAATTTTTAAACCACCTAAACGAGGATTTTTGAGAATTTTTTCAATGAACTGTCGACCAACAAGGCTATCCACAAGCGGATTTTTGAAGAATATTTTCAAGGACAACAAAACCTTGATTTTTGAGAATTATTTTAAGGACCTGTCAAATTAGGTTTTATGATTTTTTTCAAGGACCTCTTTGAAGATCTATCGACATACCTTTTTCAAGGACAACAAGGCCATTTAAATGTGGGTTTTCGAAGACTATTTATCAAGAATAAGAACTCTTTTTTTTGGTACACTTGACCAAATAAACTTGAATTTTTTTCGAGGACTACTAGACCTAGGACCTAACTAAATGTGGATTTTTGAGAATGTTATTCGAAGGGCTGGATTTTGGGAACTTTTTGAAGGACCTGAGGTTGGGTTTTAGAGCATGTTTTCACAAGGACCTTTTGGGTAACTAAACGTGGTTATTTTAATACATATTTTTTCAAGGACCAGTAGTGGATTTTAAAGAATATTTTTTGGAGGACCAAAAGTGGATTTTAAGGAATATATTTTCAAGGACCTCTAAACCAACTTAACGGAAATTTTTGAGAATATTTTTTGAAGGACCAAAAGTTAATTTTATAGAATGTTTTTTCAAGGATCAAAAGTGGACTTTAAAGAATATTTTTTCAAGGACCTCTAAAACAACAAAACGTAAATTTTTGAGAATATTTTTTTTAAGGACCTATGATAATATTTTTTTAAGGATCTGTGGACCAACTAATAATGAATAATTAAAAATTTCCCTCACCTATTAATCAAATAGAAATAGAACTTCGTTATATCCTCAATGCTCTCGGAGGTGGCAAACAGATGGCCCGAACGTTTTGTGGCCAAAAATTTGCCATTATTAGCACGGAACGATAGGGAACCATCACCGTGCCAGATCAATTCAAACAAAGCATCGGCACAACGGCGATTTCCCGTTGCCTGTATACCACCGCCGGCTGTCAAACTCCAGTAACGATCCTGAGTGGTGCGCAGAGCCCAACGATGGGCCGACCAATCGAATTCCAATTGGAATGTTTCATTTTCACCAATCTCATCCTGATTGGCCGTAACATCGACACCCTGTTTCACCGAGACATAACGCAAATTCATGGCGGCAATAAACGAGGCCTGCGGCAGCGAGTCTTCCAGAGAGAACAGCTCATCACGGGTCACGGTCGATGAGCGAGATTTAAGCACAGCCTTGGAGCCAATGGGTGACAAGTATTGACCTTGCCTGCAACAAAGGAGGAAAATTTGTTAATAGATTTTCTTTAGGAGTTAAAAAGGATGGCTTACCTATCCCTCAAGGCCAAATGGCCACCATGATATTCAGCACTGAACAAACAGTCTTCATTGCAGGCATTTTGCAATTTACCATTGGCATTCAAATATCTGGAATTCAGAAAAATTGGATATCAATTTTGAAATTATTGAAAATATATCCCTCCACTCACTTATTATTACAAGTATGCAAAGCATACCGACCACCCTCCTCCTGACGGAATTCCAAGGTGAACAGGGTATCCTCACCCCAGGGTATATTCGAATCGACATGAATTTCATCTTGAGATTCGGACAGATGAGCGAAACGTTTCCTGCCAATTGAACGCAAATTCACTTGAGGCCTGGCAGCCAAATGGACAGTCCAAAATTCAGCATTACCCGGAGTCTTGGCGGTGCATTCCAATTTATCGGGAGTTCCACCCAAAAAGTAGCCACGTGATTCATTTTTCAATGCCCAACGACCGGTACCGTCTTCGGCAATGCTTATCTGAAACCGACTGCCGGCATCACGTTCATCCGATTCGCACAGAACATTGCCAAACGAGTCGACGGACAGATATTTGTTGAGGTGAGATCTTAAGTAGATAATACCTGGAAAAGAGAAAAGAGGGTAAGAGAGGACATTAGTATATGCCAATGATTTTGAAGAGAACCTTTTTTAATATTTTGAAAAAAAAAATAATTTTGAAAAAATTCAAATAAAATGAAATTTTAACTAGAGTCGGATTTCGTTTGCAACAGTTTTCAAAAATAAGGTCTTCTTCCTGAAGCCTTCTTTGGGAGATCCTTAATTTTAAATCGTGTCAAATATAACTTCGCCCTCAAAAAATAAGGTCTTCTTCCTGAAGCCTTCTTTTGGAGTTCCTTAATTTTAAATCGTGTCAAAAGTAACTTCGCCCTCAAAGACCTTCGATTTCGAACGTCAAAATTTTGTTGGACTTTTTTCCACCAAAATCTTTTATTCCTATTTCTTTGTAAAAACTTGCCCGACCCACTGTACTTCTATGACTTAATTTCCATTATTTACAAAGTGGACATAACTGTGTCAATTAATAAAGTGGCTGAATGCACTTTCTATTCGACTACACCTCTGTTTAGGAGGAAAAGTGTGGCCATAGATAACAACAATTTATTCTGTGCGGATTTAAGCAAACAACAGCAACAACAATGCATGGCATTAACTTAAAAATGTCAAAACGGCGATATGAGTACGACAAGTGCCCATCAACCTAAATTGAAGGACCTTACGTTGTGGAGGTTTAAAAAAAAATTAAAAATAATTTTCAAGTCACATATATTTTAAACTACCAGGTGCCCGTTATTTTGTCAGCGAAAAGTCCACCTTAAAAATTTGGATTCGTTCCAATAGTCTGTGTTGGAAATTTATATCAAATTTGAGGATTCCAGTCCTATCCCATCCCCAATACCAATTTAGTACTTTTCGTTCAAATATAGGACGCAGTTTCACAATCACCTCCATATCTCACTTCCAAATACAAAAAGAGAACACAAAATCAAATTTCGGAAATTTAGCTCTATCCCTTCACCCAATACAAAACTTAAACAAAATTGAGTACTTTTCGAACGACCATTGTACGCATTTCCAAACCCACGTCCAATTCTTAGCCTCTAATTTCACCCATTAACAAATTTCGTACCATTTAGTGCAATTATAGTAGGCATATCCGGAAACATCGTCTTTTCTCAACCACATACATCAACAGTGGCATTTATATCAAATTTCAGGATTTCATCTCTATTCCTTCACCCAATACCAAATTTAGTAGATTTAAGTACTTTTCGTACAATTATAGTACACATTTCCATAACCACCACCATATCTCAATTCCAGATGCCAACAGAGACCTCAATATCAAAATTGAGGATTCCTATACCAAATTTTGTACCATTTAGTACATTTTGAACAACTATAGTACGCATTTACAAACCTACCACCGAATTTCAACCTCAGATATCAGCAGATGTCTAAACATAATGTTTCAAAATTTTATCTTCATTACTTTAACCAATAGCAAATTTAGTACCATTTAGTACTTTTCGATCAATTATGGTGCCTCCAGCTCGGACACCAACAGTGACCTTAAAATCAAATTTTAGGATTTCAGGTCTTCAATTTCCCCATTACCAAATTTAGTACAATTGTAGTAGGTATATCCGAAACAAGGTCCTTCTCTCAACCTTAGATACCAACAGCTATCTAAATATCAAATTTCAAGATTTCAGCTCTATTCCTTCACCCAACAAAAAAAAAAATAGAAAAAAAAATTTAGAATCTAAATATCAAATTTCAGAATTTTATCTCTATTCCTTTACAAAATACCATTTTTAGCTCCATTTAGTACTTTTCGAACAGCTAAAGTACTCATTTGCAAAACCGTTCAATATTTCAATATAAGACACCAAATGTTATCGCAATGCAAAATTTCACAGTTTCAGGTCTATTTCATCACCCAATACGAATTTAGTACCATTTAGTACTTTTCGAACAATTATAGTACTATCACTATCAGCGACCCTAATACCAAATTGCAGGTTTCAAGCACTATTTGTTCACCCAATACGGAATTGTAACAAATATAGTACATTTTAGTACTTTTCGCACATTTGTAGAACAAATTTCCACAGCTACCTCTTTATCACAAACCTACCATCAAAATTTCAAAATTCCAGCTTCATTCGTTCACCCTAAACCAAACTAGTTCATATTTTGTACCATTTAGTACAGTTCGCACATTAATTACACATTTCCAAGATGATTGATTCTAAATACCCAATTTTAACAAATCTTGTGTATTTAAATATTGTTGTAATTTCGAAAAAAAAAAAAACCTTTCGACTCTTACTCCAAATTTCAGATTCTCAGCTCTATTTTTTCCCCAAATACGAATGATAATACTATTTAGTTAATTTCGTACTTTTTAGTACGTATTACCAAATCCACCGTCATGCATCAAGCCAACCGCACAAAATGTGATCGTAATTCCAAATTTTAGACATTCAACTCAAGTCCTTACTCAAATACCAAATTTAGTACCATTTTGTACTATTTAGTACGTATTTACACAAAATCTTCACCCTACACACTAACAATGATCCTAATGTCAAACTTCTGATTTCAAGCAAGATTCGTTAACGCAATACCAAATTTAGTACCATTCAGTAACTTCCGTATGCTACCTAACCGCATTACTAAACCCAAATCTTGCCCTAACCCTATCCACCCGCAGGGACCCCAATACCATTATTATATATTTCCAGATCAATCAGTTAAAACCAAAATTGTGACCTCAATCCTCATACCTCAATCCTGCCCTTCCACAGTAAAACAAATTCCAAATTTGAGGATTCCACCCCAAGCAGTTTGTCCAAACATAAATCGTACCAAATTGTGTATTGTATTTTAGTACATATAAGTAAACATTTCCAAAATTATCTTCATAACCCAATCATACACACGGAGATTTCAGGATATCGGCTCTATTGCTTCATCCAAATCCAAATTGTACCAAATTTAGTGTCTTTTAGTACCCCCCTAGTATAATGTTCCATAATTACCTATATCATACAATACAAAAGATCCAAGCTAGATTTCAGGATTCCAACTCTACCGGTTCTCCCAAAATTTAAATTGTACCCAATTTAGTATCATTTAGTACACATAAGTACAATTTTCTAAAACTACGTACATGGCTCAGTCTTACAATGCAAGTGTCAGCTTACTTCCAAATTTCACCTTTCAGGCTCTATCGGTTAACTCAAATCGAAATTGTGTCAAATTTAATACTATTTAGTACTTTTCTTGCATATAAGTTCAAATTTCGAAAACTATCTCCATATTCCAATCCTAAACTCCGACAGTAAAAGTTTAAAATTTCAGGATGCCATCTCCATGCGTTACTCGAAATTAAAACTGTACCAAATTTAGTACCATTTAGTACATATAAGTATAAATGTCCAAAACTTCATACATACCCCAATCCTAGACTTCAACAGTAATCCCAATTCCAAGGTCAAGGTCAAGGCATAGCCTCCCTGCATCAGAACCTCCCTATATTGGGTATTTTGATGATTTTGGCTACATTATTCAATGAATTTTTTTTATTCAAGTTTCGTATTTGAATATTGTAATCCACGTGTGTCCACGTCGTCGTAAAGACCCTAATATAACGGCTACATTCGGTATTTTTTAAGATTTTAACAGAATTTTTAACGGATTTTATTATTATTATTATTATTTTTTTTTTAAATTGCCAAAATCTTTAAAAAAAATCGGACCGTCCGAACTCACAGCTTTTTTACAACTTTTTTACTCCAAATAAACTAGGATTTTTTTCTCCAGGAGAAAAAGAATACGAATTACCCTTTGTTGATTCTCTTTTTCAATACTGAAAATCGATCTCACATTTACATCTTTATGATAACTGATTGCATTTTAGTGCAAATGCAAATTAATGAAAATAATATCAGCAGAGCGGTATGTCCTGGGGCTTAGAAAACCAGAAAAAGTCTTAAAGAAAATGAAAAACTAACAGCAACAACACGAGTCACAAAAAAACTATCGAAGGAAACACTTCAAAATAACAGACAAGCGATTGCAACATGTTGTAACATTAAGAAGAGGTTATTTGATATCAACTTTGTGTTTGTTGTCGTTGTTGTTGCTGCAAACATTTGTTACAATTTAAATACGAAATGCACGACAATCAAGACACTCACACACATATACATACAGATATACAATAGGATCTGCAGCAAATTGTTATTAAATCTCTGATGACGACGATGTTTTATGATTGTGTTACTCAAACAAGTTGGCTTCCTCTCCCTCTCCCTCTCTCTCTCTCTCTCTGTTTTACATCTACTCTCTGCGTATGAAAGCCAAGTTCATAAACAACTAGACGTTGGCCAGTCATCTATCTACCGGTGTTTTGTTAGCGGTCATTGTTTCTTTACATGTGTTTCTATTTTCTTGGTTGTGCAAATTGTTGTTGTTGTTGCAATTGTTATTAGCTTTGCGGTTGCGACCAAGTCACCAGCTTTTACTTAGACGTTCATTGGTCAGTTGTAGTTTTTTTTTGCTTTTTTACTCCAGCCTAACTTTACAATCAACCGTCAGTCATCTCAGCTAAAGATTGTTTAACATAAAAATACCACAGTACCCATCAACTTAATTAACAACAACAGATCTGCACACGACTTTGCAGACTTTTTTGTCGTTGCCATAAAAAAACACATAATGTGAAAATGATATATTTTTAAAATAATTAAAAAAATAAACATATGAAGATAATTAATTAAGTGGGTTTTTTATGATGATTAAATTGTTAAGTGCAGGTTAAATATGTAAAGGCTGTCGGGTGTTGACAGCGATGAAGGGTCATCGTAAACTAATTGCAGACAAAAAGATGGCTTTTAGAAATGATGAAAGCGATTTAGGGTGAATTTTTTAAAGGAAAAATAATAGTTTATAATATATTTAAAAAATCATGGTTAAAATCTACTAGACCAATAGAAATTTGGGACAATAATAGTCGATTTTTCAAGAAAATATTTTCATGGGCTAGCAACAC